TCATGTCATCATTTTTCCAATGATCTGCTAGGAAGTTGACAAAAGCATCCTTGAATTTTAATTTTTTAAACTTTTCAGAAAATCGTTCGGCCTTGTTTGTTGAGGACCTACAATCGTATACGGAATGCCAATCTCCTTTCTGTTTCTGCGTTCGGAGTCTTTTATGGAACTATCAAAATAGCGATCGAAGATCAAGTGAACTTCTCATGTTGATGCTTTGCATATTTTGGATAAAAAAAATTCCGAAATTTTTTGGGAAGTTTGGAGAACAGACCAGCCAAGCGAATAAATAATTCATTTGCCACATTGGGACAAGCACTGAATACCGTAGTGATCACTGTGGCGTACAAAATAGGGACAGAATGTAAATAAACAATAAAATATAGATAGATAGGTTAATTGAAGCTAGTACGATACCAAAATGTTCCAGGTGATAGTGGTTGATACAATTAACCAGATTAGTCCTGGCTACTGGTTGTGGTTGGATAGTCAAACCAATCTTACGGTTCAAATTTACGGTCCAGAAGGCTTGGATAACCGTCCAAATAAAAGGCGTAGGCTCTGGTAGCAACAGCCTACCTCGGTTACGATTGAATGTGAATTGCTGTTCACTGTAACCGCGAGCAAAAACTCGGTGGTAAAAACCCTAGATAAAAACTGTTATAACACACTGTATTTGTAATTGAGCCATAGCGAAGCACTTTATGAATAGACTGAATTAGAAAATGAAATTATAATGTAACTCAATTAGTCTCAAATAGCAAGTTTACTTGATAAAAAAACTATAGCTCTTGAAAATTATTTTAATAGAAAAATTGGATGAAATCATAATAAAGCTATGATAGTAATTAAAGAAAATGTGCCTCGAGTTTGCAAAAATTGAGGTTAGTAAGGTTATGTTTTTACCTGTTGGAAATAGGGTTTGTTTGCCTCGAAAATATTCTGGAAATCTGGATCGACGTCTATTCGAAATCCTGGCGTGAGTGAGCTGTTCTTTTCTCTACTCTTTAGGGTAGCTTTTTCACTAATGATTAAATGGAAAAAGTCAAAATCTAGCTTGGGAAAAAATGTGCAAGCAAGACTTACCGAAATGGTTGTTTTCAAATCCGATAACATCGGCGAAAATTATAGCACTTTACGAAAATTAAACACAACGCAAGAAAACTCAGTGTGCCATAAATTCAATTAAGAAAAAAATTAGGTCCAAAATCCCTTTTGAAGGCGAAGAAAAAAATTTGATTCTTCAGGAGACCTTTTCTTCAAAACAGCCATAACGTGAAAAAAATGTGCCACACATCAACTACTACAACAATTAGCTGACCTAAAGGTAGAAATTCAGAGATGATTCAGGATAACGACAAACGTCAAAAATCAATCGATAGAATCTTTACTTACCAAAAATTGCACACAACAATATAATCCGAGAAAAATGACAACGGCTGACGAATAATAATAATAACAACAAATAATTATCCAATTAAACAATCATAACTTGAAGAATACGACATAGAGTAAGTGATCCGTGTTGCGAAATTAGAGGGCTTAGAAAGAATCGACGATACCAAAAACATTACTAATCGACAGCCAGTTGACAAAAATTAATGACACTTCAAAAGATTATCGAACTAATGATTGACCCGGGTCACAGCCTCCTACATTTAACAAGCCATGGAGTTAAAAAGGCAACACCGCAATCTTACCGCCAAGTGGTGCTGGTGGTGTTTGTTTGTATAAATATATATTTTTTATTTTATTAATATGAATCACAAAAAATGCATAATTTATTGTACTAAAGGGCCAAAAACAGTAATTCAATGAATAATTTAACTATTTGTGTAAATAAGAACAGTAAATAATTGATTTAAATGAATATATTTCTAGAGTCTAAAGTGTTATAGGCCTATGTTTCATTATGTCTTTTGAAAATCTAACTTTTTCTTTCTTCGGAATTTTTTCGGAAGGCAAGTCCATTCAAATACTTGAGCTGATTTTCGAAAATAAGAGGTACAGTCGGAATCATTGCAATTAGCACACACTCTTTAAAATCCCCCGTATTAAGTCAAAATTCTAACCAATAAATCTATTTAGTGCAGTATAGTTTGAACTCTCGAACTACGCCTTTATCCTTGTTGTCTCAAATCTAATTATTTCGGTTTCTTCAAAATGTTTACAACACACAGAGCTGGGAGTAACGACAAAAAAAAGTTTAACGAGTTACTGAAAGTAACGCGTTACTTGGTAACTTCGTTACTTTTCAGATTGATTGATAAGTAACTGTAACGACGTTACTTTCCTGAAGTAACGCTGGAAGTAACGCGTTACTAGTTACTATGAAAGTAACTCGTTCTCTCAATTTGTTTATCTTCTTTACAAATAATTTATAAGTGAGGAAAAGGAAAATAAGTAATCCAAAAACTTTGTACGTCAAATAAAATGTTGGTAGTACAGAAAATTTCTTTTGAAAGCTCAAAATAATCGTTTTTGGGCGTACCACGCGCCGCCTCTGCTCTAAGGACACTATATGCACAAACTGGGACACTTCAAAGAGCAGGTTTGTCCAAAATCAAGTGCTCTATTCAGTCGCTTAATTCTTAATCCGTTTGAATTTTGCAAGAATAGTCTTTCACATAGTCGGACTCACAAACTAAAAACATATTGGCATTTCGTATAGGTCTTATTCGATTGTTTGGACTGCTGTGTTGGTGAGTCAAATTAAGAAATAACGCAATTTTCGACGTAAATATTTATTTTTGAAGTAACGCGTTACTTTAAAAGTAACGAACTACTTTTAAAGTAAAGAAGTTACTTTCAAAGTAACGAAGTTACAGTAACGCGTTACTTTCCAATAAGAAGTAACGAAAATTAAGTTATCATTATTCGAAAGTAACTGTAAATTTTAAGTAACGAGTTATTTTTAAGCAAAAGTAACTGTAAAGTAACGCGTTACTTTTTTCAAGTAACGATCCCAGCTCTGACAACACACCACAAAATTTTTCGTTATTGTATAATCTCGGGTATAATTATCTTGGTGTATTGCTTTCATCCACATTTTTTGCAATTCAGAAGTTTTTTGGAAATAAAAATGTTTGCATTTCTTCAGTTTTTAAGGAACTCCTAATAGTTCGATTTGCACCCAGGAACACAGTAGTTTCATGGCATCTGGAACAAGTTTAAATATCTTAGGTAACATATCGAGACCTATGCTCTTGTAGACAAATATTAATATTGTTTTTATTGTTTTACCTTACCTTACCTTCATTTTTGCTCCTGTACCCATTTGCTAAAAATTTGCAATCAAAGCACAAAGGAACAGGTATCAACTAAATATGGGCAATATATTGGTGTGTTTCTATCCACTTTTTCGTCAATAATGCCCATAAAAATACTAAATTGCAACAATATACAATGAAAGCAATACACAGAAACACATAACCCAATAACAAAACAGAACCATACGCGACGTTGCCGTCATTTCCAACTTCATGGCTTGTTAAGTATAGGAGGCTGTGCCCGGGTTCCACTAGAACTTGCACTAAGTTCACTAACCGAACAGAATAAAAAAGTACGAACAGAGTAGTTCGGTACATACACTTTGAAAACGAGTCAAAAGGTTTGGAAAAACATAACCCCAAAAGAAATATTTTTGATAAATGAATATTTATTTGTTTATTATGAAAATCGAAGTAATTGGAAATGGAATTTTAAATTGGAATTAAAATATTGATTTGTTTTGATTTTGAAATTGAATTAAAATATGGATTAAAATCGAGGAAAAATCATTACAGAATAGGAACTAGTAACAAATGAAAATAGAATTTGACCATTGAAAATTAGAAAATTTACAGGATCCGCAACCGTTGTGATTGTTGTTGAAATTTTATAGAGAGAAAATGTTAACAAATTAAAGGGAATTTTGAATAGAAAACTGAAAGTAGGTAAGAATTAGCTAGGCAATTTTGGCTTGTTACAACTCCCCCTCTCCTACGATAGGAAGGAAAGTTAGAAAGAAACTTTTCCGACGATAATCTAAGCAAACTCGAGAACTTAGGTAATATAAAGTATGTAAAATATATGTATTTATAATTTAAACTTAAATTAATTCAAAATGACTATCAGGTTACAAAAATTAAAAGGTAGATATTAAGAAAGGTAGCTGTATCCCTGCAGAATGAACATCCACTTACTTTGCCTTGAAAAACACAACGGTAAGATAAAAGATAAGATAACTGAAGTCAACGAAGCTAAAGGTAAAGGCAACAATAAGCAAAGTCATGAAGGAAAGAAAAGAGAAGAAGTAAAGGAAATAAAAGAAGTTATCGAAGCTTTGGCTGTCCCGCGACAGATAACCCTAGGCAACCCTCTCGCTGTATCCAGTGTAGGCGATAAATTCTAGAGCATTTTTTTGGAATTTTTAATTTTATTTTGGTTGCACTAGTTAGGCGAACTTTCAGCCAGCGTTGCGTAACCACCTATCAGGTATTGTGGCACCTCGTGCACTGGCCGTACACCAGACACCAGCAAGAGAATCCTCCAAAGCTCTCCAGCACGAAACAACCAAAGAGTGGGTTGAAGAAAAAGACAAGACAAGAGTAGAGATTGAAATTTAACCAAGAGACCCACCAAGCAATCAGTAGCGAATTATAGCATACGCCAAGCTGAAGGATGCGCCCCCTACTCTATAACTTTCGATAAGCCTATAAATGCCCATAGACAATTTGCAATTCTGCACTTCCTGTAGCTTACAGAAAATCTCATGGAATCGTAAATATTTCCGATCGCATTTTAAGCAATCGATGCGATTTGCATATAGGCCTATATGCAGACGGCAAAAAAATACGATTTTTGTATTCTTTATTTCTGGGTCATGCAATTTGAGAAAAAGCGAAATATCCAGTTGGTAGACTGCATATCACGGCAACCAATTATTGGCTTAGCTCAGATCAGCAAATCGCCGAATTCTGTATGTGTGTACATTTCTATAAAATAATTTTCTATTTTAGATATGTAACAAGTTGGATAGAAACTCGAGAAAACGGAGCAGAAAAATCCAATCTGATAATGCTCTTTGACAAATACATCCCGATTTGCCTGGAAAATGTTAGAACGAGATTTAAAAAAATCACACCCATAGCGGAAATATCTCATATATCCATGCTGTGCCATTTGCTCGAGTGCATTTTGACGTTACAGAATACGCCTTTCGATTGCCCCAAAGACTGGTATGAATTGTATTTTGCTTTTTGTTGCGTTTGGGCTTTTGGATCTGCTATGTTCCAAGAACAGGTAAAAATAGTGCATCATCAAAATTGTTTGAAACTATCATTTTATTAGAAAGTGAAATTTTCATACTTATCCAATATTTAAGGCCACCGACTATAGAGTTGAATTTACGAAATGGTGGGTCAACGAATTCAAAACCGTAAAGTTTCCATCTCAAGGCACTGTATTTGATTATTATATTGATGATGAAACCAAACAATTCGTTCCGTGGACTGATAAACTTGGAAGATTTGAATTGGACCCTGATGCCCCCTTACAGGTAATTATTATGTCTGACTCCACATAAATTCTGTGAAGATGCTTTAAGCCTGCAAATATAACGACACCATCCTTCATCATGGTCATCTTCCAGATCATTAATGACATCGATCAAAAGTTGCCGTTATTTTTGCAGCCATAAATATTGCTTCAATTTTCCTCTCAATTATTCAATTTTCACAGGCTGTTTTAGTTCATACTGCCGAATCAATTCGCGTCAGATACTTCATAGATATCCTGATGGAAAAACGACGTCCAGTTATGTTAGTAGGCAACGCCGGTTGTGGAAAAACAGTTCTGGTAACGGAAAAATTAACAGCTCTTTCCGAAAACTACGCAATTACAAATATCCCATTCAATTTTTACACCACATCCGAAATGCTTCAGAAAATTTTGGAGAAACCATTGGAAAAGAAAGCCGGAAGAAATTACGGTCCTCCGGGCAATAAGACATTGATTTATTTTATTGACGATATGAATATGCCTGAAGTGGATGCCTATGGAACCGTTCAACCCCACACTCTCATCAGGCAACATTTAGACTATCATCATTGGTATGACCGTGGCAGATTGTCTCTGAAAGATATCCATAATTGCCAATATGTTTCTTGTATGAACCCAACCGCAGGGAGTTTTACGATTAATCCAAGACTACAAAGGCACTTTTACGTGTTTGCTATATGTTTTCCTGGAACTGACGCACTTACAACTATTTACCACGCTATTTTGAGTCAGCACTTGACAAATTCCGAATACAAATTTCCCTCGATTGTTTGCAAGCTTGCGGAAAACATTGTAGCGGCATCTGTGGTTTTACATCATAAAGTTGCTCAGATATTTTTACCGACAGCTATCAAGTTCCATTATATTTTCAATCTCAGGGATATTTCTAACGTTTTTCAGGTAAGTAATAATTGTCATATGTATAAAGGCCGAAACCCACTAGCAACATGCCACGTCATGCTACGCCACCCCAGGCCATGTGACATATGTTCACGTTGGACAGTTTGTGTGCAAATTTGTAACACGCCACGTGATGACACGCTCATTTTATTCTATACATTTTATCTGGAAAAATTGTCAGTAGTTTTGAGTACATTAAGAGTACCTATAGAAGCAGTTCGTCTAGTGACTTAGAGTTTCTAGAACAATGTGCTGCTGCGGCTCTGATTTTACAGAAGAAAAAAAATAGAAGATACTGGGTGTACTAAATAAACAGGAATCGAGAAAAATATAGTTCTGTACTATTTGCGATGCGACAAAATATTGAATAAATCCAGAAACAGCTTGCGGCGAGGCTAGAGAGGCGGCCGGAGAACATCTACACGTACCAACACGCATGGGCAGCATCTGGGGATTTGAAATTGTCACACGTCGGGTGGCGTGGAGTGCCATGACGTGGTATGGCGTGTGGCAAGTGTGTATGCGGCACGTGTAAATAAATCGAAGAATATACGCATACATTTTCGTCACATGGCGTGGCGTGGTATAGCATTGCGTGGCGTGTTGCTAATGGGTTTCCGCCTTAATTCGTAGATCGAATATGTATAAAATTATTATACTTAGTAAACGGGATAGAATGTGGGGCTCCCTCGCCCCCCAGGAGAATATCATAATCAAGAGAAAAACACGATGACAAAAGAAAATATAGTAATATTTTTATTTTTCTTATAAAAGAAATAATTATTCTGGAAAAGTGAATGACCTTGAAATTTGTAAAACTGTTTAACTGCGGAGCATTGAATCCCCGGGTGCCCTTCCCTTTTTACGGGGGACCGCCCCTTCACCATTTACCCCTAACAGACTTATTGGCTTATTGTCACCCGTCGCCTCTGGGTGAAATATGAAATGTAGTTTTTAAAGGGCAAAATTAAATTAATGCAAAATGAATGCAAAATTATCTGATTTTTTTGATGCACGAGTCAATTCAGGTATGCACCATCCACCATCCACCATGATTCGAATAAACTTATTAAATCAAAGAATAGATTTCTTAAACCTTTATTTATTCCAAGATATACATTAATACAAAAACATTATTTTGTTGAATAATCAGCTCATGGTGTTTCTCATCCCACTGTAGGTAGGAAGATCATGATTTTGTATTTGCGAATTTTGAAACTGCGATCGCGCATAGGAAGTTATTATTATTTTAACTTTTCCAAAATTTATGCCCCTTTTTTTGGGCCTGATGGGATGTCCATTGATCCAGAACATTTCTCCTAACTGGAATATTCTTGTAACATTTTCCATGGCTCCAGTTGGGATTAACAGTTAGAAATAATCGGTCGTTATTCATATGTTACCGTCTAATGTCCTAAAACTATAATCAAGAAAAGAAATTATATATTTATGATAACTCAAACTAAACTACACATTACAAATATTTATATTTATATATATAAACATCGAAAATCCATAGGTTGCTTAGAATGGTAATCGATGAAAGATTTTAAAATGAAATTGAAAGATATCGAAACTGAAAAGGGTATTTTTTCACCTTACCTTGTTCTACTTCCAAACTCCACCCAGCTAGCCAGCTCATTCATAAGGTTCACGTCCAATGCGCAGGTGTGCAATGAAACCGTCAACCGATCGCGGCAAACGAAAAACCGCGGGTCTATTTTCTCGATCCACACGAATCGGGAGAAGTGTTTTTGGCACCTGATTCTGCTCGTCGGCAGGAAGCGTCAGGACTTGCTGGTATCCTTTTCAGTTTTTTAACGCGTGCCAGGGGCGGATACAGGCCTTTAGAAAGGGGGGGGGGGGTAGCTTAAGTTTAAAAGGGGGTGTGCGCCAAAAAAACAACTTCATCTAAAAAAAAAGAGGAAAAAAATCTAAGAAATAACAGTGAAGTAAGTTGAATTTACATATGTTTTGCCTGTGTCACCTGCAATAATCTAAACAAAAACCACCCACGCGTGCCGGGAACAATCAAATTAACAATGCGGAGCGCGGCTGGACGAAGCTCTCGTGACGCCACACATACTTTAAAGCGGTATATCTCAGCGATGGTTTGTCGTAGAATAACGAGGTTTGAACAGTTATTCTTAGATTTTTTTTACACTAAAACTTTAATTTTTGGCGCACACCCCCTTTAAAGTAAACCAAATTAAGCCAGACTGGGTTAGTTTTGGCGGCGCATTGTGCAAGATACGGGTTTTCCAAGGAATGGCCCTTAAAAATATGGGAATGGGGGAACTACTTAGAAGAATAAGGTGATTTTAAATAGGTAGGTACCATAGAGAAATATAATAAACCATTGTGAGAGTTACCGATTCTGTGGTACGACACTGGCATCGCGATGACGTCATATCGATACTAGCGCCACCATCCACTACAAGACCAACTTAAATAATATTTGGCGGACTTTTTGAACTTTTGGATTATAGTCTCGTTATTTTTAAGAGGCCTGGGTACCTCTGTGCGACGGGTTAAACTATTTTTTGATTTACGTCCAAAGTATTGGATCAAAATCAATGAAATTTGGTGGGATGATAGATGATGAATCACAGAAGAATGAAAAGTAATTTTTTATAGAAAAAAGTAATTCTGAAAATTATCTCGCCTCTCAAAAAAAAAAAGATTGGAATATAAAATACTTCTCACATTTCTATGTTAAAATACTAACATTTTTTACCAATATAATTTTTTTGTTAAACACGTATATTCTTGTTAAACATAAAAAAACAGAAAATGTATTATTTCGGATCAATTCCTACAATCGCAACTACATAATCTATGGCATGGCAACACTGAGAACTGCCCCGCCAACCCCCGGCCGGCGCTTCGACAACATCCCGGGAATAAAATAATATTTATTCTTATCTCAATAATTGTTTTGACCATTCCGACCATTCCGTGCCGTCGAAGAGTTTTTGCATTGCCTTTTGTGTTTTGAAAATAAACTGGGTAAAACCTTTGGTACAACTTCAGAAATTTTTGATAGGAAAAGATTACGTTTATCTACTGAACGTAAAAATTGACGACTTCCTATAAAAAAAATCTAGGTGAAATGGTAATATTAAGTACATTATTTAATATAATTAATAGGTGTGGTAACTAGGTAATTACCGCACGCGAGAGAAATTTGCAATCTCTAAGGGCGGTAATAGCCTAATTACCATACCTATTATACAATATTTTATCTACAATCATGCGGGAACAAAATATCTAAAAGAAGCTTAAAGAATGATGAAAAAAATGAGCCTTTCACTTTTGACAGTGAACAAGTAGAATTTAGGTGATAGGTATAGGTAATATATCTTTGGTAGGCGATTGAAGGTATTACGTACCTATGTGGATAGAGCGTGCGGTAATAATATTATCGCATGCCGTGCGGTAGAGTGCACTTCACCGCACTCATTTGCGTGTCGTAGGGAGCCTACTCAGTGCTGAAAAGTAACTTTTCCTACAGCCGTGCGGAAAAATCGATTTTCCGCACTGATATGCGTGCGGAAAATGAATTTTCCCGCACGGTGCGGTAAAACTTTTTTTTTTGACATGTCAGTGCGGAACAATTTTTTTCGCACGGCTGTCAGTGCGGAAAAAATTTTACTGCACTGATATGTCAAAAAAAAAAAAAGAAAAATTTTACAATTTTTCGCCTGTAGGAAAAATATTGTACCTAACACTTGCGGAAAATATTTTTCCGCACTCGGCTGCATCACCGAACTCCGCTACGCGTCGTTCGGTGAACGGCAGCCGCGTGCGGAAAAATTCATTTTCCGCACTTGTTAGGTAAATAGCTATTACCTACAAGCGTGCGGTAAAGTGCACTTAACCGCACTTATTTGGAAATGGAAAGTAGCACTCTACCGCACACTATGCCGTAAAGTTACTTCACCTACGAGCGTGCGGTAAAGTGCACTTTACCGCACGTATTTGCAAATGGAAAGTATCACTTTACCGCACACTATGCGGTAAAGTGCACTTTAACGCATAGTGTGCGGTAAAGTCAACTTTACAGCATAGTATGCGGTAAAGTAGAACACAAAGTGTGCGGTAAAGTGCACTTTACCACATAGTGTGCGGTAAAGTAGAATTTGATATTTATAATCAAAAATCCTCTTTTTTTCAGAAAATGGATTTTTGATCATTTCTAAATTTTATCTAATTTAATTAATTAATCTGAACCATTAATTAATTTGATCAATGCCTTTTTTTTGGAGTTGTAGATGCTCATATAGGTAAAATTTTGTACCTAACATCATTTCTAAATCTAATCTAATTTCATTAATTAATCTGATTCATTAATTAATTTTATTAATGCCTTTTTTTTGGAGATGTTCATAGGTAAAATTTTGTACCTAACACATGCGGAAAGTGCCTTTACTGCCCTTAAGGGCTTGACCGAACTCCGCTTCGCGTCGTTCCGTCAACTGCCGTTGCGTGCGGTAAAGTATCACTTTCTGCATTTGTTAGGTAAATAACTATTACCGCATAGTGTGCAGTAAAGTAGACTTTGGTATTTATAATCAAAAATCCCTTGTTTTCCAGAAAAGAGATTTTTTGTCATTTTTAAATCTAATTCAATTTTATTAATTAATCTAATTCATTAAATAATTTAATTGATGCCTTTTTTTTTGGGGGGTGTAGGTAAAATTTTGTACCTAATACATGCGGAAAGTGCCTCTACCGCCCTCAACGGCTTGACCGAACTTCGATTCGCGACATTCAATCAGTGCTACTTTCTATTTACAAATAAGTGCGGTAAAGGTGTTTACCGCACGTTCGTAGGTAATAGTTATTTATATCACAAGTGCGGTATGAACTTCATTTATTACAGTAAAGAGTGGTAAATACACGAGTGGTGTAATGAGCGTTACCGTACGTGTGATATACAGCATTTTATGTATGACGCAGATTTTTTTGTATGTATTCTAAATTGGTTTTATTTTCCA